TTCTAAATGAAATTGATACAATACATTTCAAATTCCATCACCATTGATGAAATTTAGAAATGAATTATGATAGTTTAAAAACTTTTGTTAATTTATTTAGTTCCTTTGGTGGCAAATATTCGGGATATGCTAAATAAAAATGAGTTTAAAAAGCTTAATTTCCAAAAGATGAGTTTCATAAACATACTTAATTTTCTCCACACCTTAAAGTAAACAATTTTCTTCAAATTATGGAAACACGGATAACTATAATTTCTCCAACAGTAAATCCATGGACTCGGTACAATTCCCAGTGACTTTCCTCCGCCATCCAATTTTCAAAAACGAATTCAAAGAAGTAAAACCTTTTGAAGCTTTAGTCACATAGAAATGGGAACCAGTGCATCAAAAATCAAGAAACCAGCATTGACAATTTCATTTCAACTAACAAATTCTTTAGAAGCAAACTAATAATTTCAAAAGAAAAACAAGGTCGAATAAAATAATAAAAAATCGAAAGAAAGGCGAAATAAAAAAAAAAAACAAAGAATAGCGTATAAGAGCAAAAAGGCAATGAAGTCAAACGAAACAAAAACAAAAGTCAGATAAATGGCATTCTCTTCTTCCAATCGGTAATCGACCAAAATGCAAAAACTGTGATTCAATAATCCAATATAGACTAGGTAGTTTTTATTAGCTTTAAAATTCCAAAGATCACCTTCATCCTTGGATGCACGGAATTCCTCCAGTATCTGCGTTATTCGAATCCTCGCTGCCTCTGCAACATTAGGGTTTTCCTGTTCTCCTTTCTTCTGTCTCTTCTTCCCCATTTATGATTTTTCTCTTCTTTTCCAGTGAATCTCTCTCTCCCTGTTATTATTTGTAAGAAGGCGGCATAGACTCAGAGAGCTTCCTCAGCGATAGAACATTCTCGCCATTCTCACACTTCCCTCTTATAACACCGGCCAGGTAGTTCCTCTGGTGAAGAAATCTTTATATTATTTGAAAATATTTAAATAACACTTTTATAAATGAGTCCTATAAATTTTAAAAATAATTTAAATAAATAATTTTATATTTAAAAATTATTAATAAACGTGAACGGATATTAAAATATTTTACACATGGATGTAACTTGTCATATAATATATTATAATTTAATAAATAATAATATTAATTTATTAAAAATAAAAATCAATTATTATCTGCGATAATCTTCGTCTTGAATCATTCATATAAACAAAAAAAGAATACGAGTGAAACATGAAAAAATTAATAAAAGAAAATTTTGTTAATAAAAAATTAAAAAATTTTACGAGTGATCAAATTTGATATAGTAATGCCAAATATTCAAACTTTTAAATTCTTAAGAAGATAAATTTAATCTAAATTTATAATTAAAATATTAATTTATAAAT